CTAGTCTAGGGCCGCCCCTGGCTGCACCCCCATCTGCTGCTCTAGACAGAGGTTCGTCAGTACCAGGCTCAGCTCTGGCAGAGGATTCTGTAGCCCCGGAGAGGGCTCTGTGTTATCTGCCCGTCTCTGCCAGACCCCCAGGTGACCCCATCCAGTGGGCTTCTAGCGTATCTCCCCGTCGCTCACCTGAGCCTCACCGAGCCCCAACTCAATCATCTCCACTGACTTGCGGAGCAGGTTGGATTTCTCATGCACCAGGTTGGCCTCCTCATCCTTCTTCAGACACTTGATGGTCTCCAGCAGACTGTGCAGGATGGAGTTGTGCTCGTTCTTGAGGGCCTCCAGCCCCTGCATCACCAGCTTGGTGTTGGAGATGATCTCCTCCTGGCTCAGCTTGTCCAGCTTCTCCTCCCTTGGGTACACCATTGTGGACATAATCCTTCACCTGCACACCTGCTTAGCAGTGAGAGAAGAGCAGAGACAACGAGCATCAGAGCCTGGCCCAAGGGAACTCTAACAGGGCCAGATCTTAATGGAGAAGCTGCTCAGTGCTCCATCCTCACGGAAGTCAGAGGAGATGCAAGGGACCAGGTGCTCAGTGCTCCATCCTCACGGAAGTCAGAGGGGATGCGAGGAACCAGACATCAGAGGCTTTGATTAGCCCTCTCCTCTCCATCACAACTCCTGCAGAGAGGGGAGAGCTTTTGGGGCCTATCCACTTCTAAAAGGAGAGGGATATGGAGAACTGTCTGTCACCTGCAGGAACAACATGTGTGGGCAGGAGACAGAGGCAGCGTCAGAACTGACGCGCTCTATGCCCCCACACCTTCGGCAGCTAAGAAAGCTGATTTCGTTGCCCTTTAAGAGCGGAGATAAGTAACTGGCAGCTGGGATTGCCGCGAACACACCTCTAGTCCAGAGGTCACAGAGAGTCAGTGGAAACAGTGCAAAGAAATGGGAGTTGCCATGGCTGGGTGAGAAGAAAAGACAAAAGGGACGAGAGAAAGAATCCAACTCAAAGTCTGTTACTTCCTCATCAGTGGATCCCCTAAGAAAGCACCTGCCGCAGAGCTAGGAAGCACCAACCTCAGCCATGAAGACGAGCACTGTCTGAGCCAGGGAAAGAAGTACAGCATGACGGATAAGATTTGGCACAAGCAAGGGGGAAGGGGAAGACGCTGACAAATTACTCTAGGCTGTTACCACATTGAAATGTATTGCATTCCAACAACAGAACAGTACCACAGTACCTACGCAATATAACAGTATTGCAACAACACAGTACCGCAATATAACAGTACCGCAATACCTATCCGATGGGACAGTGCTTCTGGAACGACAATAGCCTTTTTTCTGTCTCATTTGATTTGCTGCCCGCCAAGACACTGTTCTCAGCACAGCATTGGGGTCGGGGCTCGTGGGCACAAGCTCCCTCCGTGCCCATGCCTGTGCCTCAGTCTCTCCACACAGCCAATGAGAGAACAGATCCCCCAACCTTGGCAGGGGACTGTGAGTTACCGTTTATCATGTGTCATTGTTGCAGTTGGAGTCCTGTAAAGGAGCCTTCCATGCTGTTCCTGGGGCAACAGCTGGAGCCTGCAGCCGGAGCCTGCAGCCCTGAGCACAACTGGGTTATGTGCAGTGAAAGCAGTGTCATATTTGGCAGCTGTGTCCCAGACAGCACAACATACACCATGCAGAGAGGACTCCTGGGCCCCGGACATCCCTCCCAGACAGGCCGGTAGGATGTGGTCTCTGGCACCCTCATGCCCACTCCCCCTTTAGGTGGTGTCTAGTAAAGACATAACCCCAGAGATCAGCCCCTTCACGCTCCAGCCTGACCATGCCCACTGCCACCCCCAAGCCAGACAAGGCTCCTGGGTCCAGACATGCCCACTTCTTACCTCACTCAGTGTCCCTACTGAGGTCTGGATTAGGACCATGGACCCAGTGTCAGTGCTGGGGAATACAGCCGCCTGGTGGAGCCTGTGCACCAGTCCCTCCTTCTGCACATGTGGCGATATACCAAACAGGCCAGGCACTGCAACCTGGGCTCATATGACCCACTAGAAGGAAGGTGGCAAGTGCCCAGGATATTACACCAGCCAGAAGAGGGAGGAGAGAAAGGAGGGTACTGGCATCAGATTTGCCTTTGTTCTGCTAGGACCTACCTTTGTATGTTATTGGCTCTTTGCTCAGCCACACTCTCCTGCCAGTGTTTACAGCAGGGGTGGGGCCGCTGACCCACACGTGGCCCAACTGAGAAGGAGAAAGACACTCCCCTCGTTTCCCGTGCACACCAGAGCCTAGGTAGGGCCCAGGCTAGTAGGCTGTGTGCTCCAGCCTTTAGGAGGACAGCAGAGGGCCTGGAGTGCCAGTGTGGGCTCCCCAATGCTGGAGGGAAGCTCCAAGCCTTGGGATCCAGGCAAGTGCAAGGCCACATCCAGCCCTTGGGCCTTAGGTTCCCCACCCCTGGTTTACAGCATAGCTAGAGATCCTGCTGCAGGTATAGCATGAGGGACTGCAGAACCAACTGAATCTCTACAGAACTCCTGCCCCAGCTGGCATGCTCCCCACTCAGGTAGCGAGTCCCTACTGCCCAGCACTCCAGCTCCTTGTGGTGGGGAGGGACACCCAAGAAGAGAGGTGGTCTGTGCAGCTGCAGGGACACAGCCACAGGGACACTGCTGCACAGTTAAGCTGGAGAAGCTCGCTCACCCACAGTGGGACAGCGAGCAGGAGGGGAGAGAGGAGACAGGCAGTCAGACCTAGAGAGACAGAGGGAGGCTAAAGAGCAGAAGGGTCTTGCCCCATGAGCACTGGAGATCACGGACCTCCAATGGAGTGGAGTGAGAAGGAACCCTCCCCACCCCTCAGCCTTCTCAGGGTGGTGGTGGAATCCTGGCCTTTGGAAGTTAAGAACAGGTTGACACAGATCTGGGAAAGCTGTGCCCCTTCAAGCCCCTCGCTTCTCCTTACCCAGCTCCAGTGATTACAATTATCCCCATCTTACAGAGAAGGAATTTAGGCAGAGAGGTTAAGGATGAAGTTAGGGCCACTTCCCAATATTTGGCTTAAGTGACCTGCCCAACTTAGCATGGGAAGTCTGTGTCACAGAAAGAGACACCCTCCCCCCAGCTACCCTTGGTCCCCATGTAGTGCCCTAAATATACGGTGACTGCTTCTCTTCTCGCCACTTCCTTCCTCCCCAGGAATTCTACCACATACAAACTTCTTGTGAGGCTAGTCCAGCTGGGCAGAAGTGGTATGGTGGAGCACCCGTCTCACTAGGACAGCGCTAGGGATACGACTGGATAACCAGTTAGCTAGTAAGCATCAACCTTACCAGGTGATGCTTACTGGGTACTGGTTAACCAGTGCCCGGGAGCAGCCTCCTGCCCATGGCCTGCCACGGGTTAAGGGCTGCCCCAGTGGGAACAGGGGCCAAGGCTGTGAGTCTCCTGCCATTGGTGGCGGAAGCCACTCCATGGCCCAGAAGCATCCTGCCGCCAGCGGTGGCAGCAACCACATGCTGGGAGCCTGCTGGCGGCAGTGGCCCTGGGACCGGAGCTGGGAGCCTGCCTCTGGTGGCAGCAGCAGCCCCAGGACTGGATCCTGCTTAGTCGGTTAACTGGTTAAACATTCGGTTAATTAACATTTAGCTGGTTAACGGATTAATCGGGATTTTACATCCCTAGACATCTGTGACAGACTGGGCCGGGTCTGGGCACTGCTGAGGGAGTCCGCTCAGGGTGAATTGCTCCAAACCAGGGCTTTTTACAGCCCCAGACCGGAGACCTTCCAAACAGGCCACAAACTGGTCTCACCGAGAAAAACCCCTCCAACAAACCAGCTCTCCTTGTACCACAATCAACCCTGGGCCTATCACAGGTGAGGGATTATAGAACCCAATCTCACCTTCCCCGAATGGGTCTTTCTGATCCCAAAGAACCAGCCACAGATCCCCGGTCAATTTACACTTTGGATCTTACCAACAGGATTACACTGGGCCAATCCTTTAGAATCTAAAATCTAAAGGTTTATTACTAAAAGAAAGAAAAGCACGAGAGTAAGGTTGTTAAAGGAGAATACATGACATGCATCGAATCACCCAGTTCTCAATGCAGGCTCTTAGCAGAGATGTGATAAACTGCTATCTTAAAAGTTTTTGGTATACATCCTGTGTCAGGATGGGTCCATAATTCTTCCCAGCTCTCTGTCCCTCACAAGGCAGCATTTGGGATCAGAAACAGAATTGCAGACCAAATGGAGATTGCCACATGGCATTTATAAACCTCCCCTGGCATCTTCCTGGCCAGAGCAGGTCACATGGCCCAGTGACCTATCCCTGTGTCCCATGTCAGCGGACATCAGACACTGACTGGTTTGCATGTCCCAGACACATTCCTCAGATGTGTATTTGGCACCTAGAGAGCCACGTCCCTGGAGCCTTGCTAATTAGCATAGTCACTGACTGGACATTCCTTCCCGTTGCTTTGTCTCAAACAGAGAATCTTCCAGCATAAGCACAAAGTACATGTTTATAACTCCACATACAGATATCATACAAGTACATGAATAGCATATACAGAATCAGTAGAACATAAGCTTTCATTTGACACCTCACATGGCCCCCTTTGAATATACTTTGGGGGCAAACAGCCCCCACAAAGTACATGTTTATAACTCCACATACAGATATCATACAAATACATGAATAGCATATACAGAATCAGTAGAACATAAGCTTTCATTTGACACCTCACATGGCCCCCTTTGTATATACTTTGGGGGCAAACAGCCCCGCGCCAAGGGTGCAGCAATGATCTGGCTTCTCCCTTTAAAATCCAGTAACGTGACAACAGCACAGCCAAGCACATAGATGTGGCCTATTCTGAGAGGCAGCACATCTTCATGACTGTTTTGCTATACAGTTGATAGTCCTGGCTCGGCTAGAAGTGGCCTTGTGTAATCTCTGCTATCCTCATTTGTAGCAGAAGCTGAATGATACTTGGGATAGGTAAATGTGCTGTGTGTTCCACTGGAGGGGCAGGTCCACACAAGAGCCTATTAATCCTATCAGATAAAGATGTTATTCCTTTAGCTTAGGTGGTGGAGCTCATCACCATCAAGAGATTGGAGGTCTTGGGGGAAGATATATCCTTGTCAGGAAACAAGTCCCTCTCTTTTGTGTTCCAGTTCATGAATTGTATATGAATTATACAAATCACCTACAAATTCCAAGTGATCACTCAGGTTTGATAGGTTCTTGTTCCAAGATCAGGCTCAGTATTATTAAAATTACTGTTTATCCTGGCACACTGCAGCTTTCATACTTGAAGCAAAATGCAGGACAATGTAGCACTTTAAAGACTAACAAGATGGTTTATTAGATGATGAGCTTTCGTGGGCCAGACCCACTTCCTCAGATCAAATAGTGGAATATTTTCTTC